TTCCCCAGAGAAGTGTCAATACTTATCAGATCAAGAAAAGTGTTTCGTTCCGCAGATTCTCCCACACGAGTGGAGTTTCCTTTAAATATATTACGTATATTATTATTTTAAATTATGGAAGTATGCTACATATAATCTTTTTATAAGTTCTAACAATAATCATTGGAAAAAAGTCAATTCTTTGACCCTAAAAAACGTTTATCATCATTATCTTCAAAAACCTACTGAGTTTTGGTTGGTTACAATGGAAATTACTTTATGTAACTGCATTTGTTCAAGACCTTATTCATTTGTCAGATCCAAAAGATTTTCAGGGAACGTGATCATTTGTCCCTGACAATTATGCTCCCTGAACTTCTTGAGAAGTGCACTTGCTTTCTTTGGTCATTCCTCAATAACGTCACTAGCTGAAGTGTGAAAGTAAACGACCGACCAATTTAAGGGCTACATCGTTCGGCCTAAGGTTCAAAATATACTTGTTCACTGAATTAGTTGCAACGGTTTTAGGTCGTTAGTGCCGGAGCGCGGTGAAAATCGAATCCACTCATCAGCACAAGCCACTGCATGCATGACAACTGTCGTGATTACTTGGTGAACCTGACCAAAGTTAATCCTGTCGACATACTATCCCAAATATTCTACCGTATCTCATCCACACAGATTGAGAGAAGGCAGATTGAGAAATGAATGCACTTCATTCACATTTATCGTGACGAAGGAGCAAGTCCTAATAAGTTTACTGATAGACAAAATAATACTATTGGACTGAGACCTTGGGACATGCATACATGATAATTAAGTGGCACCTTCTCCAAACTACTGAAAAGCTACACTGCCGAAATACTTGAACAACGTTAGGATACCTTTTCAAATTCAAGTGAATCCATCAATAACATCCCACTGGGATCGCCGCAAAATCAGTGATGCATCGGACGTCATTTTAACGGGCTCATCATAAAGATCGTCCAATCGGAATTAACTTATCTCTCCATGATCAAACAATAGTATTATTTGAGCGAGGTAGCACGGAAGACGGCAAGGTTCGTTTGCTTGAGGGCGGAATGTGCGTGTCCCCATCTCCCTGGCTGCAATGCTTGATCGTCAATCGAGCAAGCTTGGGATGAGAACAAATTAAGCCACTGGCAACTGACCTCGGTCAATCGGGTGTGCAAGCAGGTCACATTGAAGTGAATCAATAAATTGGTCACCATGCTAAGTAATGAATGTTGACATGAATCGTTGTATGAGCTTGTTCAGCCTGGGCATTTAAAAACCCAGCGTAATCATTGTTCTGTCACTTCCCATACTACTCGCACCTTTTTAGAACCTGAATACATTTGTTCTTCATCGTATGGCGCCATTTCTATCACAGAGATGTTAGACCTGAAAAGAAATTAACCCAATGGTCTATGAACTACAGAGATGTTCCTCATTTCATTTCCGGGCCCAGGTTGATCACAGATTTAGGGAATTTATCATCAAAACTCAACTAAGCTACAATATTTCTCTTCAGTGTAGTAAAATCCATAAGAAAGCCACACTGAGCCACAAAGTTACACAATCCTAATAATTTGATGCACAATAAAATCTACGCGGAGCCGCACCTCATCTTCCAAGTGAGTAGCCGAATCGGTGTAAAGAAGGAATGCAGATTATGCAGTGTGCTCAAAGAGGAAATTAGGAAACTACATCTTTAAACTTTATTATCAGAGTAAAATCTAGCAATACATATCTGCAGTTGCTCATACAACTCCGTGGAAAGAGGTTACGAAGATTTTCGGATGAATATTTATCTATAAAATGTACGGGAAATATCTCCAAATATCTCCGCTTTCCGTAAAATCGGTTACAATGGAAGAAAAATGCATGCCTAGTTAGGATGCATACTGTTTAATCTCAATGCTGTGCCAGAAAATGTTACTCAATGATGATCGCCTTTGCCTATGGGTCACAACGTGTATTTTCCGTATTATTGGTGTCACCATAGTACACTTCATACGATAATTAGTCACAATTCAATCATATCTAAATCTATTTCCGTATATTTTAGTTGCATTCATCATGTATAATCTCACGAAACGGAAAAATGTAAGCCAAATGCGTGAACCACGCAATCTGTCTACTTGCCATCTTGAGTGAAATTTATGTGTGCAATTAGCTTTAAAACTGGTATTAGCGATGCAATCAAGTGGACACGGATTAGTTGCTTTCAACATTCAGCACCATTAAGGTGTAATAAGACCATAAAATTATTGATATGGTGGAACAGATTTAACTTAAAACAGCATACTTTGTGGCCCAGTTTCGCTTCTCAGAGAGTCAGCACGGTAAACGTATGGAAAATTGATTGACTGAATTCGTTTTCACCGGTTCGCACATCTTGGCACTTTGCAAACATTTCGTCAATAGCAGAGGTGACATCTTTAACGTATGTAGAATAGATACACTGTACATAAAAACACCGTATTGTTAAAGTGTAACCCACTTTTTATTGATTAGAGACCATGCAGTCGTGATGTCACACTCTCCAGGCTTGTAGCCGTTGGTAAATGAAAGTGCGTGCCAGTCATATCACGTTAGAGGTGGCTCAGCATTTATACATTCAGGCCATTGGTAATGAGTTTTGGTGCCCAACATCGCAGCGCCTGATACACACAAAAAAATAATAGTAGTGGTAATCTGTCCCTCCATTTTCCATTAGACAATCAATAAGTAAATCACCTTTATTCTCTAATATCATTCCGTGAGACAACTGAAACTTTGATCTTATCCTCGTTTCCTCCGAGCCTTCGCAGTCCAAGAGCACAATACACAGTTGTGCATTGTACGGGTTAGAAACCATGGCAACCATTACGAAAATATCGGATCAGGTTTCTCCAGCAAACAATAATCGAATGTGATCTCACCATCTTTCGTCAATCTGTGTGCTAGCAAGACGTGATTAAAATATCGATTTCTGGTCTAGTGATGAAAAAGATAACTAAAATCGCTGTTTCAAGCTAACAAGGATTAAAATATGGTGAGCTAAAACGAGACCAACTTTAGTTACATTTCCTCAGGGAAAGGAGAAACAGAATCCATAACGGCGATAAGTTTTACGTCATTCAATCTCAATTTGAAAGATCAGTTGTCAAAATAGCAAGACAATAATTTAAGGGAAACTGGTAGCTATTAAGTAAAACCATTCCACGATTGCGTAAAATTCATTCCTGATTATTGGTGCGAACTTACGTATAAAATTCCGACTTAAATTCAAAGCTATTCTCTAACATATTTTCAAATGCTAACAAATCATGCAAATAAATCTACAACAATCTGCAATATTCTCCTGATAAAGCATATTTTTATTCAGGCTGTCAGCCGCATGGTGCGTGAACCAGGTAAAAAGACTATTCTGACGCAATAAGGTTGGCTGTTCCACAGCCCAACACCATCAAAACCACCGCCAAACGCTGTAGGAAAGAATTCCTCGCTGAAATTTGATGCACTACAGGCATGTGTATCTGAAAACTATCATTATATGCAGTGTTATCTTCTTTTTATTTTATCACTTAAGTGATCGACGAAAGAAGCAGATAATTCTGGGGAACAGCAATAATATTTAGGGTTCCATTACCCTATGGTGCTAGCTGCATAGTTCTGTATATGCTACTGGCAGTTTATAAAACAAAATGATCCCCAAGAACTTAAGTTCGATATCCGATCCATTTTTTCAGGTTTGTTATCAAGTCTTTCAATTTCGGATAACGATCTTGAGAGAAATCCTGAGTGTAATGTAAAGATTATCTGATAAAACTGATCATATTATGGTCATTTGGACCCATGTTTCATGTAGGTTACTGAATGATTTTTGTGAGACCAGTCGGATCACCAATTCCACACTGCTACTGAAAAGTAAATGAAAGCTAAAATATGGCGCGTGAGGACATCAATAATTCATTTTTGTCGTTGTTGTATTGTTGCGGCTGTTACGTAACATGAATTCTAGACTCTGAGCCTTCAGCGCACCGATGGTGATCAAGTTACGTTGTCCGATTCTGTGCGCACAAACGTTTCTGGCGCAATCAGTTAAATCGTGGTGGGACTGAGTCCGAACCTGATACCTCCACACTCTCTTGACAGTATCTTGTGAACCGCTGCACCTACCAGAACTCTCTTGCTTAAATACCATCTTCTTCACGTTGAATCAGCTGAAGAGATTAAAAAAATATTAACACGTAGTATTTTTCCATCTGTTCTCGGGAATCAGATAAACCAGAGAAAACGTCACCCTTAAAACCAACTATACGAATATTTCCCCGGAAAATTGGTTGTTCGTCATTGGAAACTACAAGCAAATGTGAATTCACTACGTCCTTTGGACACTGATCAACACGTCAACGAATCAATATATTTTCCTACTACCTTAAGGTTTCGATGTTTGGGGGTTTTTAGGTCACTTGAAACGACTATTACCAGCCGCCTGAAACCAAAACTGTATTCTGAAGACATTTATAACGGAAACGTTGTTTACGGATGTGTTTGTATTGCAGAATCTGTCTGTTACAACTTACTGGAAACATCTGAATCCATCGTACAGTTGTTTGATCATTATCAAGGCTACATTACTAATGTTGCCATGAGACCGGCAATATCAAACAACCCATTTCCCAAATACGTTTTGTCCTTCTTTTCCACAAGGTCAACAAATAAATTCATTTTCTCTTTTGAATTATTCCACTTTCTTAGCTCGTTCTCAATATTTTATGGTTTGCTGATAGTCCTTAGGCGATATCCAGGCACCATAATCTAACTTAGGTGTTCAACGAGTGAAACGCAACTATAAACGAAAGTCTACCTACCATTCTTCCACTCTTTTGATTGATCCTATAGACCCGGCCACACACTCTATCCCGAAATCGGTAGTTCTTAAAAATGGATCTTGAGTGGTTATGTACCCCACGAATAAAATAAGGAACGCATATGTGCTGTCGGAAACACTTTTTCCTTTGTCCACTCACTTGGTATGATTGTGTAAGAAACAGATAAGACCGTCCCAAGTTCATATCCGGGCAAAAGCATCTCATCTGACGTCCATCCTTATTTGTCACAATATGCTCTCGAATTTTCGCCCAAACCGGATAGGCTGGCAAACTGGCAGACGCTTTCTTTGGTAACAGACGACTGGCGGCTCCATCCACACGCCATGTGTCTTGTATACGAACCTCATATCTAATCTTGTCGCCCTCCGATTTTTGGGATTCCACTGTGCCTCGAAATACTGCAAATGGAATTATGTGAGACAACATAATGAGTAACAATTCCAGTTGGTCGATACAAAGTGAGATATCCAGTGAATCAACTCGGTTATTAATTCGAAGAATTTTCCCTCTTTCCTTACTTTTTGCATATTTCATTAAGATCTTTATTCTTGATCGAGACAGTAAAGTAATACTCATCACAATAACCTGAGGAGTCTGTATATGCATATTTTTCAATATTTTGGGCATCAAAGCGTCAAACAGATGTTCTTTTTCATACCACAACGTTTTGAGGATCGTGCTGAAAAAGCACCCCTATTAGATGTGTGAAGCTCATTTGGACTTGATCGAAAGTGTGATGTTTATTATTTCAAGCGTGTTTTATAATATTTTCTTTATATTTCTGAAACTAGAAGTCTTGTTTTAGTTAACTTTCAGAATGCCAAAAGCACGATCACTGTGAGTTGCCTTGAGTGTGCTGACAAGAGTACATGGGGAGGATGCGTTGCATTGTGGTTAGAACGGTCATAATTTGTGCCAGTTGTTCTGAATGGACGGCGTTCTGTTGAGTACACTGAAGTACCTAATACACTTGTGTTAAGATCCAAATATAATATTTCACCCGCTTCTCATTCCCCTGATCACACACAAGAAAGTACACCATTTAGTATATTACGAGGCGATACGACATATATCACGGTAATCGCGTTAATAAATTGAATGCTTCGTATTTTTCATTGTTACACAAAACCATACTCTTTTCCGCTTGCTCACACTTGATATGGTAAATTTGCATGATCATCACATTTTGTATTGATCGATTGATCATTTTCTATGCGTGCACAATGGTTCCTGCTTGCGGTCGTATAGAACCCGCGTGACCGGGACGCCAGTGCTGTGTGCTTTATTTGCACCAGGCACATCATGTGGTCTATGTTAGTCATAGTCAGAATCGATTCCGAATTTAACAAACGCTTGAGGTCACATCGTTAACGTCTGGCAAACACGGTTTCTGACCAGTGCAAAATTACACATTAACCTGAAAGGTTGCTATTCCAGGTCGATGGATGCTTTTTCAACAAACAAAATTGAACTTTTATCATAATCAATCAATCAATTAGCATAATCAACTGATCAAGTTTTAGTAACATATTATCGTATGGAGAAGCTGAACGATTAATCGCTCTCTTTCTCTCATATAAAATTTTGTCGTTGGTATCGAACACTTTATTTTATTCAGAAAATTTGAAACTGAATAATTAGTATCTTTCCACAGGCAATGAATCTATTGTTAAAAGCTTGAATATTCCCATCATAGCACTGAGAAATTTAGCGCCGTTATGTGCTGTATGAAAAACGAAGGGCAAACTTCTACTCTGTTGTATGGAAAGTTGCACGGTATTATGATGTTAGAAGTGACATCTAAATCGCTTTATATGTTGTTGAAACCCAAACACGCAATGTCGATCGTTCACATTAATAACGAGTGTTTCTTACCTTACCCTTCAATGGCATGATTTTAAAATTTAAATTTAAAATTTATAAATATACTCATCCTACTGTGCGTTGAATAAGTAGTTTCATCTGAAATACAAAATTATTTGACATGACGCTCGAAATTGCAGAAATTACTAAAAAGGAAGTGACAGTGAGAGCTAAACTCAACTGACGCCGATAACTAAATGCAACAATCGGTACGCATTCCGGTTGATGCATGTGTGCCTGGACTTATATATTCAATGTGTGAGACGTTGTATTCAACTCGGTCCGTCATTTAGTCCATCTTCGAACACAATTTATGGACGCGTACTTTAATATGATCGGTAAGGATTCTGTTCCACAACGAGGTCTGTCACCTATATTTTTCTATATGTTTCAATTGGCTTTGGTTTGCCTTTAGAGACGTAAAATGCATCTCATGAACGAAGGCTTAAGAAAAACGTATCGATAAACTGCCACTCACCTGCCTCGCGGCGACAGAATTTCTTAAACCGTATTCTTTTCTTGTTCGGTTTGCATGGTGGACATTCGGGATCTACAGTTAGATAATCATATATCACAAAACAAAATTGAAAGGAAGCTCAAGTTGTATAAATAAAGGCAGACAACGAAACGAGAGTTAAAAAATAATCGCGGCAATAATCTTAGTTAGTTCGATCCAGGAAAAGTAATACACTTATTTTTATCATGGTTCCCGATTTGATATCCACATGAGCAAGATTGTTCGTCTTATGTCACTATATGAGGAATGCAGCTGAGTACAAAATAAGCACAACTACCCTGCATGTTGCACGCGAAATTAGACTAGGCTGAATAAATATATGTGCTTTTCAAGACAGCAAGGGAAAGGAAAACTAAAACTTTGGACCAGAAATTCAGACACATGGATGGTTGGATGCACTTCGATGTTTTTGAACATTCAATTGAAATTATCATGCGACTGATAATACCAGAGTTGCAATTTGTTCGAGCAATTCGGTTGTTATAGAGTCATCAACTAATTTTCTATATGGTTCATTTATTTGTCAGACAAAATCATTTTAAAATCCTCTGCGGATTTGTTAGTTTGGCAATTCAATGCAAATCACTTGGTTCGATAAACAGAGCATTATTTGATAAAAGTTAACTGTTTTCATTCTCTTTTTCAATCGACCTTCACTATTCAATAAACCATACTTTGACCAAGTCTTAGTGGATAAACTGGGTAATATAAACTAAAAGTATCTATAAATCCTCCCACCAATGCATTTTATCAGATGTCAACTGTAGACATTTTGATCTTTGGAGTTCCAAAGAAGCATAATTAACCCCCGTTGAATAAGGTGTCCTAAGTTGATGCATTTTATCACCCAGGCACAATCGATTTCAGTTTAATTGCGTTTCCCTCGCTGTAGTTTCGCACGTTTTTCCTCACTTCATCCCACAGCTCGGATGTGTCTTTCTTCATTGTTCAGGCTCGTCTGAGGACACATGATTGTTTTCGACACACATTCACAAGGCTATGCTATTTCTTTATGATGTTTGCGAACAGCGAATTCGTCTGTATCACACTTCACATTCCTCTTCAATTTCGTGTTACCAAACAACCACATGCTACATTTCATCTTCATCAGGGTCTAGCAATGGTCGAGGCTGGGCTAACCCTTATTTTCCTATGTAACCACACGGCTCCACACACCAATTCACACGCGCAACAACAGCAACAACAACAACCAGAGAAATTCGTGATGAACGCCCAGTCTCGGGCAACATGCAAGATGGGCGGCATTTCATGTGACCAACGGGGATGGCCGCGTGATGGCACTGGTGATTAGTCATGCAGTAGATTTTAATGGATCCCACAGACATTTCGAGTGATTGCTTCGGCTGATTCCCTTTCAATTACCTATTTCCTCCCAACCCCTCTTCTTGAAAACCGGCGGGGTCCACCACATTCAAACCGGTTTACTCAGTTATGACTACTATGGATTTTGATGGCTTTGCCTGTGATTCGAGTGCATCGTGGAGAATGTGATTGAACGGACAGTGGGCTGCCGCACAATGACGCTGACAACAGCATTGTCCGAGCATGTCTGTCTAATGAATTACGCTCTCCCCCACCTCAACCCATTCTAACTCCACGACTGCCACTGACCTCCTTGTCCTCCTGTTCAACAGCCCCCACCCCCAAACACAGTGTGTTCTGAAAACCAAGGATGCAGAGGAAAAGAACTGATGGTTAGAGTGCCTAACCGTCCGCAGGCGGTTACCCGCATCACGTCTCATGACAAATTGACCTCGACAGGAAACATCACACTGCGCTAATGAAAATCCTCGAAAATACTAGGCCACACAGGTATCATACAGTCAATCATATCTCCAAAGCAACGGATATGGTTTTGTGCTTACGGGATTCTTGTTAATATTTCCATCCAACCTATTTCAGCCTTGCTTCATTTTTTGCCCAAAGATTGCTGTTTGGCAAATTAAAGTCTTTTGGATGATATTCGAACCCACGGATGGCGCTTGTCTGAAACTCGAGAGGAAGACCATGAGCTTTACTTCGTTCCACGTGCTTTATTCAGGTAATGGGCTCAGAGGTGGCACGCATTTGAAAGATGCAACTTACCAGTTTGGAGCTCCTGCGATTGGGCCTGACCTGCAACGGCTGCAAAACAAATAAGTAAATATCGACAATTGTTGAACGTACATCTCTCTTTGCGACAGTGTTGGCTATTTTAAGTTTCAGATTTTTATTGGGTTAGCACACTGATATGCACTAAGCAGTAATACTATTAACGGCTAAGGGGATAATAAACAGACGTTTCGGGTACTGTGACTAACCTTTCTTAGGGCTTATTTATTACCAAAACACATCGAATGTCACTAAGTTGTCATTGGCAAAAACATATCACCATGATTTAACACATTCCTTTAAGGCAAACGTTGAACTCCATTCAATGCTAATACTTACGTTCTATTCATTCTTGTTCTTCCAAATAATGCATTAATTGGTAACCGCAGACATTTTGAGCGCATTTGGATATATCATAACAAAGTTGATTTTCAGCCGGCTAGAGAGCGAGATTCGGATAGTCAAACTGTTGTCCATACAAGGTCATTTGCTTAACCCCAATTCTTACTATGCTGGAAATGAGGTGACGAGAATGTTTTAATCTAATTGGTGATTGCTAGTCAACCCAACAGATTTAAATCAATGTTGTAGTTTTAGATTTCTGACAAATATCATCATTTTTCGAATTCCGGATAACTGTTTCCTTCCAATCAGTGATGTTCTGCTGTTCACCTCAAATTTTGAACACAACACATTATCCATTGAACAATTGTTGAGAATCGTCAATTAGATTCCTGGTGTGAAAATACTTTTGGAACCGAAGTAATTCATGCCAGAACGAGAATCAAATAAGGCAGATGTTTTCTGGAAAGATTTATGTGACATATCGAAACCATTAAATGGAGTAATATAGAAAACTGGCGTGACGTTATCAAAGTCCTTCAAACTGTTCCCCGTCAACTGAACTACGACAGTTTTGTTCGATGAGGCGAAATATATTTTTATTGAGCATGAAACGAATTACTCCTTTGTCCGGAAAATCACCCTCGCAAGGGGATCGGTATCCTTTTCTGCTGACACAACTACATATCACTCTTTTGGTGTTATGAACGTAACTTCCATTTTCCGCTCGCAATATGCCCCAATATACCCTTTTGCGTAACCTTTTACACCAGATTGATGGAAACCATGAAGTTCGGCTGTACTTGATAGATTCACCGACCCGCCATATATTTTGGTCTCTTCCGGCGTTGCTCTGCAGCATGGCAAATTTTTCAGACATTACCTGTTCTCTCCCATCAGGCTTCTTGCACGTGAACACATGAATATGTACATGCACACAAACGAAATAGTCATTTTAAATCGCACTCCCCTTTTACAGCCTCCATCTTTTAACTTCATTCCCACCTCGAATCCTAGACCAACCGGTTCGGTATAGTTGCCAACACCCAGCTCTGGTCTACCTTCGAGTCACAATTAGCATGCATACCTCAAGTAATAAAAACTGACGCTACTTCTTCGATGGCGCGCGGGTATAATTGTTTCCGCATTTCGTTACTTTATGATCCCCTTTCGGTTTTTCTAATTCACATCACGCACATGTGTGTATGTGCCTCCATTCTAAAGCCGCTTATCCATCCTGTTTATTGGTCAATTTATAAACGGAAATAATAAAACATTTCTAACCATTTGGAATGGTAAAAAGCATATGCATTTTAGTTGGTATTGAATAGAAGGTATTTTTCAATTTCTCAAGTACTCTTTTTTCAAATGAACGTTCTCTGAAGGTTGGATTAGAAGCAGCTACAGTTATGGCACTGGATCAGTGTTTAAAATGCATGTTTATTGAGGTTCTGTGCACCAGAAGTAAGTGCATGGATTCACATTTGAAGTTGATTCAAAAGTTGACAGACTAGCTTCGCAAGGACTGAGTATGTTGTATTCTGTGTGTATGGCCGGCAGTCCACTAATGCTGTCTGATTCCATTGTCTATTTCAAGTGCGTTCTATCGCCATTTGATCAGATGACAAGGTGACAGGTGTGTCCAGTTCATGAATGAGGATTTACAATTTAATACGCATCTTTTGTGGGATTCACGGGATGATCCGATGGGGTTGGTCACTAGGATGATGCATATGTCTAAAAATCATCTAGCCCCAAACGGAATCAACCGCAGTTGATTGTACGCTTTAAGGTGATATATTGGATGCGCAGGGAGAGAAAACGTAAAACTGGGCAAAGCATCAAACTTTCACGTAGTTATTGATCTCACAATGGGCTGCACGAACGTGAAGGCATCAACATTGGTGAAAAGTGAGCTCCAGTGTCATTGTGGAAAAGCTAACGTTTTGTTGACAAAACACGCCAGTGAAAAACTCTTTCTAACAACTTCCCAAGACCTACGCCGCTTTTGCAACACTGACTCTGAATAAGTTGGCATTCCTTTGGATGTATTCTCAAATTGGTAGTGAACAGAACGTTTTCATGGTTATGGCTGCCTCAATCCCTGAATTTTTACCGACTAGTACGGAACCTCTGGGTGATAACTGGTTGCGAATAATTGAGCACGGCGAAGTACCATGTAAATGTCATATGTGGCTCAAACGAAAACCACAAAATTCATGGAAATCATCAATAATCTCTCCTGAACAAATGTTCATAGAATGACCATACATAAACATTACCTTTCATCTTATCCATTTCCTGCTCATGAAAACCGAGGAAAAACGTAAATTCTTGTTCACCCAAATGCACGCTAACACACATCAATATCTGCATACATACAAACATACATACATACATGCATACATACATACATACATACATACATACATACATACATACATACATACATACATACATACATACATACATACATACATACATACATACATACATACATACATACATACATACATACATACACATATATGCATACACGTTCAAAGTTATAATCGGATAAATTTGTCCATGAAAATGCATTGTCCATTACATACTACAATCCACGCAATGTCGGTTTTAATTTATCGTCCGTAGAGTTGAAATTTATCTGTTAATTATATTTCGACCCTGATTCAATCTGCTCTGAAATCCAGTATGTTTCTTTTACAAAAGTTTAAACACATACGTGGGGGCTTGAATCTGCGCTAACACAGTATGGAGTTTTCGACGGGCTCACCAGGAGTTGACCAAAGCCGCCTCATTAGAACCATATCCTGGTAGGTAGCAAGCGAGTCTGAACTGGCCAGCTTTCTACCTGGCTGTTCTTTTGGGACCACAAGAGCCGCGGTAACAAAAGTGTTCCTGCTTATGTTCTGTATCCCAGATGGTTCGTTTTTGTGTCACAGAGGCGCCGGCAGTAATCATTCCTGCTACCCCACTCTCCGCTTTTCGACCGAAGACCACAGTTCGCTAGCCCCAACCCCACTTATTTGCTGTGTCCATCAGTGAAGGAAACGAACTTGAAACGGGAGCATGCTGGGGGTGTTGTGGGGCTTCACGGAAAGTACGACTAACGAACCGCAAAGCCTTTTGACGGAGAGAGGTGTAACCTCGTCCGACAGTCCGTCCCAAAAGAGTANAGAGTAGCCTTCATAAGAGCGTACAATTATTTATCTAGCTTTACGAATTCTGAAGCGTTGTTTGCCGGAAAAGTTGTATCCGTATATGTATTGTCCGGTATATATATATGCATAGCAAAGCATTGCATTTATTTTCTACTTTTCTACTTCACACTCTTTTCAATTGTCTCACGAAAATGATGCATGCAACAAGGGCGCAACATGTTAAACACTTAATTATGTTGTTTATAAGGAATGGCAACGGGAATAGCACAAAATGGTTATTTTCCGATTTTTGCTTCTTTCAAATGAACAGCGAAATTCACGTTCATAGATAAGTAAGGGAGTATATGAAAATATAGACTTTCGGAAAAAATTAGATTGTTCAAGAT